AAACGCGGCTTCTCGACCGCCGCGCCGTCCGTGGGCCGCATCACCCAAATCATTGGTGCCGTCGTGGATGTCCAATTCACCAACAACTTGCCCCCGATTCTTAACGCGTTGGAAGTGCAAAACACGAACGACAACATCCGCATCGTGTTGGAAGTGGCCCAGCATTTGGGTGAGAACACCGTGCGCACGATTGCCATGGAAGGCACGGACGGTTTGGTCCGTGGCCAAGAATGTGTGGACACTGGCAACCCCATCATGGTACGTGGATCAGGGAGAAACCTACAAGCGAGACGCACGGGTGTTGATGGTGGTTGTGTGTCGTGTAGGTGCCCGTCGGCCCGGAAACCCTCGGCCGTATCATGAACGTGATCGGTGAACCCGTGGACGAGCGTGGTCCCATCAACTCGGTGCACAAGGCGCCTATCCATTGCGCCGCGCCCTTGTACACGGAACAAGGGTCGGGTGCCGAAGTGTTGGTGACGGGGTTGAAGGTCGTGGACCTGTTGGCCCCTTACGCCAAGGGTGGTAAGATTGGTCTCTTTGGTGGTGCCGGTGTCGGCAAGACCGTGGTGATCATGGAGTTGATCAACAACGTGGCCAACAACCACGGTGGTGTGTCTGTGTTTGCCGGGGTGGGCGAGCGCACGCGCGAAGGCAACGATCTGTACCACGAAATGATTGAATCGGGTGTGATCAAGCTCAACGCGGACGGCACGACGACCGGCTCCAAGGCCGCGTTGGTGTACGGCCAGATGAACGAACCCCCTGGTGCCCGCGCCCGTGTGGGTTTGACCGGGTTGACCGTGGCCGAGTACTTCCGTGACGTGGAAGGCCAAGACGTGTTGTTGTTTGTGGACAACATTTTCCGTTTCACGCAAGCGTGCTCGGAAGTGTCGGCGTTGTTGGGTCGTATTCCGTCGGCCGTGGGGTACCAGCCCACGTTGGCGACGGATTTGGGTGCGTTGCAAGAGCGCATCACGTCGACGTTGAAGGGGTCGATTACGTCGGTGCAAGCCATCTACGTGCCTGCCGACGATTTGACCGATCCTGCGCCGGCCACGACGTTTTCGCACTTGGACGCGACCACGGTGCTGTCTCGCCAGATTTCCGAGCTCGGCATTTACCCCGCCGTGGATCCTTTGGATTCCAAGTCGCGTATGTTGGACCCGCGAGTGATCGGCGACGAGCACTACGAAGTGGCGCGCGCGACGCAGAAGCTGCTCCAGGACTACAAGGGTCTGCAAGACATCATTGCCATTTTGGGTATGGACGAACTGAGCGAAGACGACAAGTTGACGGTCGCGCGCGCGCGCAAGGTGCAAAAGTTCATGTCCCAGCCCCTGCACGTGGCCGAAGTGTTCACGGGCAAGCCGGGCAAGTTCGTGCGCTTGGAAGAAACCGTGTCGTCGTTCAAGGCCATCTTGGCCGGCGAGTACGATGACCTCCCCGAAGCCGCCTTCTTCATGGTCGGCGGTATCGAAGAAGTCAAAGAAAAGGCCAAGGCCTTGGCCGCGGAATTGGAAGAGTAAACTTACCAGAAAGGAATACTACAGCAACTACAGTTGTATTATGAACCTCTTGTATTGTGTGCACTCGCGATGCGTTCCATGAGTTTGGTTATAAATGAAGGGCAAGGTGATATTATTCATGTGTTGGTGGGCGGTATTTCCATGCGACAGAGTTAAAAGTACTGTAACGGTTGTGGTTGTTGACCTTTCGGACTCTTTCTGCCCACTGCAAAAAGCTAATTAGACTTGTAACCGACAACGCATGACGGTTTCATATATTTGCAACAGGGTCTTCAGTCGTCGTCGTACTACCGGGTAGTATGTCCGAGGCCAAACCAAAGAAGCGATTGGATGCGGTGGTCCGTAGCCGCGTCCAGCCAGTGCTCGAGCTGCTGCACAAAGCCAACACGTCATCGCAGGACTTGAGTGTCGAGTCGCAGCAACTTCTCGCCGAATTGAGCCGCACAAAGCGGTACGCACATATGCAATCGACCTCCTTCGTGCATTCTCATGCACCTCGTCGTTCTAGTCGCGTGAGTCGGTTTTGGATTGAAAAGGCGGTCGTAATACTGGACGCATTGCAAATCTATGGGCTCATGTGGCAATTGGCCCAAATCTGGCCATGGCCGTCCAAGTGGCTTGCCGCCACGAGATGGACGGTGCTCAGCAACTTGGACATTCTCAGCCTCACGGCGACGGGGGCGGGAATGGGGCAGGCAAACCCCCCGTTTTCCCACTGGTAATAGTCCCCCCTTATGGTGTACAAGGGAAACTGAACATGGACTGCGAACTATTTAGGGGCGACTTGCGTCATTACTGGGCGTACGCGTTGGGGTTTGCACTCGTGCCGTATATGTTGGGTATCGGATGGTGGTGTGCGTTTCGGCATTGGCGGTCGTCGGGGGACGTCAGCTTTTTGTCCAAACGAGCAGTATTGGAGAACAAGCTCCTCCTTGTCCTGCAGTGGATGTACTTGCCGATTGGGCTGGCTGTGTCTCGGCTATGGCACTGTCAAGATGCACCCAACCCACTCGACCCCACAGAAATGCTGTCCAGCATGAGCGTCGACGCCACCGTCGCATGCCTTGGCACGACCCACACGTACGTACAAACTGTGTGGAACCGTTCCTGACCAATCGTTTTCATGTCGGGGATGGACGTGCTTCAAATGTAGAATGGCATTGATTGGCATTGCGGGGGGGCTGGGGCTCCCGTTCCTCGTGGGGTTTCCCATCCTATTGTACCACCGCATCAACTTTATCGGGGCGTTCTCCGAGCCAGGTGACGCCACCAACTAACTCCAACGACTCAACCATTTTTATGCTATTTTTTTATATCTGTGCAATGTGACTCTAATCCTTTGGTGGTCTTTTAGAGCGTCACGAAAGGTTCATCCAAGCTAAGGAACTAACTTATCTCTTGAACGTTTCGGACGATTACTATGTGCTCAACGTGGCACAATATGCGTCGTACTCGCGGGACATGCGACTCTTTCCCGTCCATGTGTGTGTGTTGAAGGTGGTGCTGCTGGGCGTCTTTACGTTTGGCCGGTCCAGGTACCCGTCAATTGACATGCAGCCCCTGCAGGGCATGCTATTTGCCGTCGTGTTGATCGTGGTGGTGACACACCGGTCATGGTGGGCGTCGCCCTTTCGATGTCGCAGCACCGCCCAGCTGAGTTTTGTGTTGGATTCGTTGCTCACGTTTGATGCCGTCATGGGTACGGATCCCCAATGCATGTGTGTATGCGACAGCATTCGTTATGTGCATGCATGTGTTAAATACCTGCAAAGTTCCCCCAAGTAAGATCTTCACATTCCCCCGTACCAGGCATACAAGCGTTGTTCCACCTAGAAACTACGACCAATGATCAGGGTTGTGCATTCAATAATCTGACTTTGATGTTATGCAGTGCTTTTATCGGCCAACCCGATCAAGAGCGCGCTCACAGTGGCGTCGGTCAAAGTAGCGCTGCTTGGGTTTGTACACACCATGGGAACACTTGTAGTCGCGGGAGTTGTGGTCGGCACGTTTTGCAAGAAGAAGGCGCGGCAGCTCAACTGGCCCACACACATCCACATGCGGCCGCTGGTGCGCCACGTGGCGCAAGTGACGAAGTGGGTCACGGCGCTCAAGGCGGCCGACCACGTCTTGCAACGCGTATGTTATTTCTTTGTCCTATCCTCGTATCGGTTGAGCTGAGTAAACGTGCTTCGTCGCGGTCGTTCCTTCTTGTTTTTTTATCGCTTTTCCCTTTCGACGATGGCGCTTGTTGCCGGGGTAATGCCTCAATTGGAACTTTGTTGTTTGTCCATGTGTAGTCATTTACTGCGCCTGCGCAAGTGCAGCCCACGGACGAGTTTGCGCGAGTGGTCGCAGACTTACAGCAATGTGCGGCGGATGCGGCGCAACTGGACCATATTTTACATGTACAAAAGCAACTTTGTTGTTTGAATTCGTCATGTCAATCTAATGATTGACATGTATTGAAGAACGTTGTGGTGATGGCGTGGTTGAGGCTTATGTGAATAATGATTTATCTTGATGTGTGTGTCGGTCGGTCACATGTACTTAATGGCAGGATCAACTACACGAAATGGCGGCTCTGATCAGTGCGGCATACGTCGAAGCGTTGGGGTCGGCCGTTCTCGCGTCCGAGCGAATTGACGACTGCGTCAACAAGTTTACATCTGAACTCCAACACTACAAAGTAGCTACGAGATATTCCCCCAACACTAAACGATTCGAATAACTGGCATCTCCCTTGTAGTACAAACACGACATGTTACCGCCACCCAAACGCAACGCACTGTACAAGTTGCATGCACTCAAGACGTGGCAATCCCCAGATGTGTGCCGCGTGGCCGTACTCCAGCAGCAGCACAAGTCCCCTCCAGGGGTCGACGACTTCTTGCCAGAACCTAACAAGTTTCAACATCTCGACGTCCTTGTGTCCACGGACCCGCAATTGAACTTTCCGTCCCACGTTCCGTCGTTTTCAAGCCTATTGCAACACACCAGACGCCCCCCCACGTCGAATGACGACCATGCACTCATTGCCGTGCATTGGAGTGCGGTCATCTTGTCCAACACAAATGTCAACAACAGCCCAACACACGAGGCTGAACCCCCCAATGTACAAGAACAGGAAGACGCTACGGTATTGGCCACAGTAGTGCAATATGAATCTCCATGGCTACTGGTCAAGCTGCCCTTGCTGAGTGACGTTGAAGATGCGAATTGGACGGTGCTTCAAGGATGGATCCACGTGGCGTCCCCGTGTGTGTCGTTGCTCGTGTGCCATGATCCTGACACCCAAAACCTGTTTGACGAGCTCAAGGGTTTGCAAATAATGGTGGTACGACCTGCCATCCCAATGGACGCGTCCGTCATATCCGCCTTGATCGACGCCTCGAGGACCGCCACTACTACCACGGCCCCACTCGCGACTGCGGCAACGAGCAAAGCGGTATTGCGCTATCTATATTAACATTATGATATTATGATGATGTTTTTAATCAGAAATTATATTGATTAGCTATTGCGCCAACAGTGGAGGCGGTGCATTGACCAATGGAACGTTCAGTTTGTGCTTCGACACGGCCGCGCACCCACGGACTTGGACAAGGCCAAGATTCGCCTGTGGTATACCCTTTTCCACGCCCTTAATTGCCCCTCTCAACCAATATAAACCACGCCCCCTAACACGAAATCTAGTCCATCTGTTGTTGTGGCAATTTTTCGCGTATTAATATATATATTACAAGAGGCTAAATATTAGTACTACATGGGAGGTGCCTCGTAAAGGGATCGAGGAGGGAGCTTGGGGGTGGTGGTGGTTATAAGTGCGGCAATGGGTGTTGTATCCCTGGTGGTCTGGACTTGTCCTTGCCTGCGGATTTGGGGTGGATAAGGGGGCGACCTAACGCGGGCATTGGTTTCTTGATGTCCGGCGCAGAGTCCCGTCTCGTGGGCCCCCCCGTGGCAGGTCGAACTTTTTCCTTCACGTTGATTTCAATTTGGGCCACAGACTGAATCGGCCGCAATCCCTCAAACTTGGCGTCGCCGGCGCACAAGAAATGGGCAGTGGACGATGAAAAAGGGCGACGAGGTGGAAGCAGTTGCGTGGGGGAAGACTGGTGCGATTGTTGGTGGAGATACGCCGACGCGTCAAAGTCTATGGATTTACCCAAAAGCACTTGGAGCGCCTTTTGCTCGGCTTGTAGTAGCAGGCGTTGGTTGAACTCGACCAATCTGATATCAGGTATATCGGCACCTAGCCCGTCGGGGGCCGCGCACGGTGGATCTGTGGTTTGGACGATATATCGAAATCGTTTGAGCACACGTTGGTACTCTGGCAACGTCGTGTCTTCAACCCACTATAGCAATAACATTAGTTGATAAGACGTCCACTGTATTTAACATAGGGAACATAGTACGGACGTGCTCGACGAAAAAGAACAAAGACGCACAAAAACAGCTCAAGTCCATAACCTCCATGCCCCGTCGGTCAAATTCCCACCCCCGGTGCAACATCGACGCAGCTAACCCGTCCTCCCAGCCCGTGGTGATCCCTGACGATGACTCGTCAACGAACAACCCAATGACTGGAATGTTTGGTACCTCGAAGCAGTGTGGCATAAAAGTGGTGGTATACTTCCCGAGTCAGTCCAGTCACCCCGCTGTCGGGGGTCGCTGCTGGTTTGACACAAAGCGGCCTAACACACAAGTTGATTGACTACTAGGGGTGTGACTTTATGGGACCTGTACCAAAACGACTTGAGCTGCCGTTGGATGGTGGGGTGGGTCATGATGGTCGTGCGTTTCATTTGGAGTTCCTTGTGCCGACGAAGAATATCAGCGAGGGCTGGGTCGAGTTCGTGGCGGTTCTTGTCCTTGACTGGTTTGTGTTGTGTGGATGATGATACGGATGGATCGTCGTCTCGATGACCAACTTTTGCACAGGGACTTGTCACGAGAATGACTTGGTCGTGGAACGTCTCTGTCGCATCCACCGGTTGGTAAGTGTATTCGATGTCAAAACCGGAATCGGCAGGCACCGTTGACGATGGTGGAGCGAGCAAGTCGGGGTGCTGCAAGAGAATGCGTTGATACAACTCGTCCTGGTCCATGTGGTCGTCCTCCTCTTCGTCGCCGAAACAGGGGGGTTGAAAGGACATGTATGTGCCCCCCGGTGCGGGTAGTTCATCGCCCTTGCCGGAAAAAGTACGAGGGGGCGTTGGAGCTGTACTGGGGGCAACTTCGGCATTGCAAGGGTGATGCTGCACCTCCCTCAGAAAGTCCGACAGACCGTATGGAACGACATCCTCTTGGCATATCAAAGAGCTGTCGGAGGAGGTCGACGTGAGATGGTCAAGGATTGTGAACCGCCGAACCATTTTACGTCGCCATGGACGGCGATGCTCGGAGTATTGGAGTTTTAGGGGGCTAAATTTAGGCGGCTCTGGACACACAAAACGGCTCAACTTCAGTGTGCATACAGACTTTAAAGTCAAAGGAAGCGCACGTGCTGTACATTGGTTGCCTAGGTAGCTAACCATTTTGCCTTGAACTATGGCATCATGTACAGGCATCTTTTTCTATACTAGTACGTTAGTAGTACCACGTATGGTGAGTTTCACCCAAATTTGGCAGTTTTGGGGGATTCTTGAAATCGCCAACAAATACAGTATTCGAGAGAAAACATATCCACCAATCAAGACAAGTATATTGATGCTTTGGATATCATTTTTAACTAATCATCTGGCAGGAACGCTGACATTCCCGAATGACGAAGAGTCCTGGCATGCGCTCCTCAAATAAATTACTCCAGTGGAGTACTTACTATCTATATACGCATGCAAATTACTCTAGTGGAAAACTACGTAATATTATACTGGTACTGCGCATACACATTAAATTTAGGGGAGTTCAATGTGAGAGAAGTGCCTTGTTGAGAGACGTCCGTGTACAGTACAGCCAACCCAACCCGAGAACGCTATTCAGCAATGGCTGTCTATAACGCAATTCGTGTAACGTTAAGCCGTCATTATGGACTTCGATTAAGCAGCAAAATGCGATACCAATTCGTGCAACTCTACCCATCGCCTTCGATGCCGGCACCCCCATGGGCCTTCGTCAGTTGAAAATTCGTGGTGATAAGCTTACAGCAATGTCAAACTCAATGCGTCCTCTATCATCTTGATACCGGTACTACTTTGCTAGTCATTTTGTTTGTTGAATCTAATGAAGTGACTACCTGCACCTATTGACATACTAGATCATCTATGTGCCGACACACTCCCTCCAGTCGACATTGAAGTTAAGGGACTTAAGGGACACGACACTCACACGTGTCGTTACACTGCAATCTCAAACCACGCAGCACGAGCATACATCTTGATTCAGCAGTCAATTTCCAACTTTCCAAATGACCACCAGCTTCAGCCCCCACCTGTCGTCACTCTTGGACGCCGCCATAGTCGTGGTCGTGGGTTACTTCTTGCTTCGATTTAACCGATTTGTTCGCGACCGGCTAGCGCACCAACTGCGTGCATTCCAGAGCCATCAAGGCGATGTGATGGCGTTGTTAACTCAACACAGGTCTGAACCTTTATTACCGTGCACCGAGTCCTGGGCTGATAGAGCAATTCGTAGAGCCTTGACCCCCAAGCCCAAGTTGTTGGGGACGCCCTTAAACCCACACGCCGCGAGTGTCCACAACTCGAGCACTTCCCGTCCATCTATTCCCACGGCGGTGTCACTCAAGCTCAAAACCACCCCCCTGGCTTTACCACACGTATCAGTCACCCCTGTCCTTGATTTGGCCGAAGTACGGACGTCAGGGCTCCGCGTGTTGTTTTTCGGCACGGATGCCATCTCCCTCGCCACCCTGGAACTGCTTCATGCCAACATGCAGTAAGACAAGATCACGGCAATCCAGTGCTTGCTGACCTGCTTGGTAACTGTAGACCAACGACGGACCACCCCCAGCCACTCATTCAATCGATCGAGGTAACAGCATTCTATATCATCAAGTGAAGTACTGTATTCCCCGTTCATATATAACTCTGCTAGGTGGTGTGTCCTACCGACAAACGAGTGGCTCGAACGCGTTCAAAGGCGCCGGTGCCAGTGAAGCAATTCGCCCTTGACAACCGTTTGCAATACCACCACGTCCCCGACGACCTGTGCGACCTATATACGTTTGAGAGAAACCATTGAATTTTTTCAGAATATATTTGTTTTCAGCGTATATACGTATATTGATCATTTTCTGTGTAGAAAATCCCGTCGACAGTGGACCCCCTCGACGACTACTGCCACCACGGCGCCAGGGTCGTCGTTTGACATTGCCGTGGTCGTGTCGTTTGGCTACTTTATCGTACGACCCACCCCAACTTCAACTTGAACCGAATTTAGTGTGAGTTTGCAGTTTGACCTTTGGATGTGTTGCTGAATTTAGCATCCGTCCATGCTCAAGAACGTGGCCAAGGGCGCGATCAACATGCATCCGTCGATCTTGCCCAAGGTACTTAAAGCATGCACACAATCCAACCAACTGACGACTCGTCCTGCAACAGTATCGTGGTCCGGCGCCCATTCCGCGAGCTCTTTTCCACGGCGACGCTGTCACGGGCATCTCGGTGATTGAAATCGATCCCAGGTCTATCCATAGATCCATCACATCCCTCCAAATGGTTTAACATGGAATTAATACTATGCCACTTGTAGGGCATTCGATGTTGGCCGCGTGTTACTTTGTATCGACGACATTGCTATTCCAGCCAATATGACGTTGTCAGAGTCAGTCAGCTCCTTCCGATGTTCAAACCATTGTATTCAACGTGGAAACGTATGGTAGGCTCACCACACAACTCGCGGCCCGAGGGGCCGAGTGTGTCCTCACGACGTTGCGAAATGTCGACAACCTGCTCGAGCACGCTCGTCCACAAGTACGTTTCTTTTCCTGTCCCTCACATTGCAACTTCGGCTACAACAACAACGTCACGCCTTCGTCTGCTAGGACTCGACCAAGGCGACCGTGGCGCCAAAAATGAGTCGAGAGGTTTTCATGTGTCGTAGCTTTCAACCTGTCGACTCAACGCTACACAATAGGATGGGGTGATCACATGGGGTGAATCCGCCGCCGACTTGTACAACGTACGATCGATCCCCATGTATCGTGGCTATTAACGACTAGTGTAAATCCTGATTCGGGCGTAGATGTGGCGGGCGGTGGGGTCCACATACGGCATTGTCACCTCCTTTCGCCAAAAGTCGGTCAAGTTCATCGACATGCAGCGACCGTCCACGGAAGCCGTCGCAGCGTTTGAAAAGCGGCTCAACCTCATGCATGAAGACTCCCCGTTGATGGCGCGAGAAGGGGGCGAACGGGGCAGGTTCTGCTATGACAAACCGACCAAGGCGCTGTGGGTGACGGCGATCGATGGCCAGTGGGTCTTGGTGACTCGCGTTCAAGTGGCCAGCCGCACCATTCGCACGGCTGCTGAATTTGCCGACGGCCAACGCCTTCGGTCGGGCCAACTGTTTCATTTTGACCAACCTAATGACCACGATAATTGACATTGCACATTGCGGTTGTGAGATTGGTTCAAAAGTTGGCACCAAGTACGCTCGTGGACGTTCGAGCTGTTTCTTGCCGCGGCTATACACTACACGTGCAAGTGATTTGTGATTCGATCTCGAGTACAGTATACGGTGAATGTGGGCACAGACTTCCAAGTGACTTTGCCAGGGGTCGTAGCGTTGCTACCGGTAGTCACATAGGGCCTCGATATTCCATCGCCTTGTGAAGAGTTGGTGTACATTTGGGCTGTCATCGAGACACAGCTAGTGCTACAAGGACGAATTGGGGTGCATCAATGTCGAGAAGGAGGGAAGCAACGTCACTCATACTGTACCTACTGCCCCCCTAAATGTCTGGGGGAATAATGTTTCACATATTGAATTTTCGCTACAAAACTACCGACCAGCTAGTGTCGAAGGGTGTGAGCTTTGTGATAGAGGGGGCAGGTAAGTCGAGCTGAACCATGGCCCTCTGTTGGATTAACTAGCAAGATAGCATCGACATACGACTTCAGACATTCCACAACCAAGGGGCCATTATTCCGCAGACCCCCCTTAATGTTCAAAAGACTATTACGACCCTACCAAATATTGTTGTGCTGGACAAAGCCACAGCTGTCATTGATTTGGTTAAGGGCTTTGCCGTGTGCTGTGTGAAGAGTGCAAGGTGTTCAATGTGCTAACCATTGCCTGTTGGGTGGACACAGTGCTGGATTCTGACAGTCTCATGGTTTTGAACCTAGGCGTAAGCATTTCTCGCTCAAGGCAGCGGATTTCACTTGGAGCTCGTCACAGAAGGACGCTATTTGGAGACCATGCAACCAAAACCTACGGTTTCGGCCGCCTATCCATTCACTTGGCTAGACTCACTTGATTACTACGTAGTACTTTCCTCATTGTTATTTCAGTTACTGACCATACACAGCCGAGCTGGCACACAACGAATAGCGTGTTGCTCGAGATCGATCCTCCACAGGCACTGTATACGATGATGTAGGCGATGCCGATTATCATTAATGTCGTGCGAAGTACGCAGCGGTGTTGCAGTCATGGCGACGTTTTAGTGTTGACTTCACGCACTGCCAAGAGGTGTTGATACAACATATGGATTAACACACACGTGTGGGATACAAACTAACTTACCATTCGTCAATTTGCACTTGCGATGGTGTTTCCCATTACTGCAAGTCGCGCTCGTTGTGGCGACTGCGTCCCATACCGTCGTGCTCCTTACGTTTCGGAACGTGGAAGAACATGACTTCGCATCAGACCCATACCATTCGTGTACGGGTTGAAGATACTAGAGTTAGTCCTACTAAAAGTTGGTTCTACTCTAAGCGATGGTTGGCTGATTTCGCACGCACTAGTCAACATTACCGCCGTCCCCAATCGCAACGTGATGTGGTTATGATCAAGTCATGACCAGAATCCTTTGGAGAGTGCTTTTCAATGCACTATTACAGTATAGAAAGGAATCTAAATGCTGGTCCATTGATCTCGACATGAGGCGCATTGTGAATGTCAAGCACACATTACCACACTAGTACCCACTATGAATACCACAGAGAATCAACCGATACCATCATAGTTTGGTGTTTCAGGCTACAGTACGTGTCCATAAGCTAAAGTTAGAAGCGCCTTCCGACAGTCAGCTGTCGACCGAAATGAGTCATTGTATGCTCAGCAGTGGTGGCTATTGAATATCACCAAATGCTGACAATTTTACTTCAAGGAGTACCCCCACAACGCCTTGAAATTCATCCATGACCGCCCTCATGGGTATATGGATCCCCTCAAAACGTTACAACTTATACCACCCCCCCCTCGACGAAATGCACGCCACTCATTTGATTGGGGGATACTTTATTGCGTGGGCAACTTACCGAGCCGTACTACCGTAAAGGAGGGGGCTGTACAGCGTTGCCTTTGAACTATCCAATTCACTGACCCCACTTGTCTTGGTCGCGGGAAAGGGTTAGTGTGTTTTAGTCGCCAAGCGATTTCGTGGTGAGTTCAATACTACGTCCAAGCTTGGACGCACAAATCAAGGCAGCGCTCTCGGTGTTTTGTCTTCGGTACCCTCCACAACTTGGCGGGCTACACTGTAAGTGGCGTGTGTACGTAGCAAGGCACACATATGTCTGTCTATGCAGTAGTGTACCGTATGTCCTACGGTATCCTTGAGATGCACTTTATTCGCTCTGAATACATGGGGAACGCCACACACATACAACGTCCAAAGCTACTCCAAGGACTTCGTGCGGGTGCCAGATACTGCGATAGGCTCTTCTTCTGCATGGATATCTGTAGAAAACTACCCTTCACCACTCGTCGCCACCTTAACCAACGGCCAAAATATGTCAACAAGGTCGTGTGCGTTTTTGAGTCTCGTTGAAATGCACACCCAACAAGTTTTGCACCCAACATGTATTACTGTATTTTTTGATAGGAGTATCGTATCTTGACTTCAAATCAGAACCACACGATTTGTGTCCGTGGTTGTGCACGAAATTCGTTTTGACTGAACTTGTGGCTGGCAACACATTACACCCGACCAATCACTTGATTGCATGGTCATCATCACGTTGCGACCACAATCCTGTGGCCAAACGCCAGCACTACAGGTAGAATCTCACCATGCCTTGTCGTGGACATGAGCGCCTCCATTTGGCTGACACGTCTCCTTGTCGTACACAAATGGACGACCAATAATGTTTGGTCCAATCGATACTGTGAACACGATAGAGGTCCCTTTTTGGTGGGCTTTCCCTCTTGATTTGTTTAAAGTTCAAAGCTAAAGTTGAAATTGAGGTTTACCACAGACAGCTGGTGACCCATCGCGGCGTCCCACTGTTCAGCATGCAATTGCGGACGTGTGCATCAACACCTTGTATATCAAGTATATTGATCATTAGTACCTCGTACCTGCAAGTGTAGCCCACTTATACCTACTACTATAGCTAGCTACGGTAGCTATCCCCACGACCTTTCGAATCAATCGTGTTGCATTGCTCAATTTGCCATTTACCAAGCAAACGATGGTGCAAGTGGCTATCTTTGCAACCCCCGCTTGGCCATACCTTGTCGCATCTGGAGCGATGCTAGTTGCGGTGGCGTGTCTGGTTGGCTTGTACTACTTCGTCGTACTTCCCCTCGTCACTCCACTCAAGCGGTTGCCCGGCCCAGCGCCTACAAGTGTCATCTTTGGGAATGGGTAATATACGATCACAAAGTTGTGGTCATCACGTTCATCGTTGATTTATATATACTGTTGTAGGTGGGAGATCTTTGAACGCGTGAGTAACTTCCCCGAGCCGTTCTTGTCCTGGATGAAGCATTACGGCGGGGCTGTCCACTACAGCATTGCTTGTGAGCATCGCATCCAGCTGACGGACCCCACCGCCGTGCAGTATGTCTTGGCGACCAAAGCCTCCAGCTTCCCCCGGCACCCCACCTTACGGCGATTTTTCGCCGTACGTTGGTCCATCCTCATATCACGTGAAATCTCACGCCCACTTACTTGCTAGGACTTTTTGTCTGGGGTGGGCTTGTTGAGCTCGGAAGGCGCTAAACACGATTACCATCGCAAAGTCCTGAATCCTCACTTTAGTGGCATCCAAATCAAGACATCCATGGCCGTGATCGTGGACCAGACCCTTCAATTCTGTGCGTCCCATCTCGATTCTGCAGCCATGTCACGTCGCCCCGCCAACATGAACACATGTAATGCCATCGACTATCTTGACTTTACATGGTTACAACTCATCGAAATGGTGGGATGGGGGGTGGGTTATTTCTAGTCTTTCAAGAACTCACGTTGAACAACATTGGGCTGTCCTCGTTCGGGTACGACTTTCAAGAAAATCCCGACGCCCTCAAAGCGTACGAAGCGCTTCAAACCATGCCCAACAAGGTCCTCCTTGCATGTTCCATGTGCATCCCGGGGTTCTCGCGGCTGCCGTTTCCGTGCTTTCGCCGACGAAATCACGCCCGCACCACTTTGCTTCGCATCATGCAAGACATCATCACCACGAAGTTGTCGGAACACAAGGCAGCTGGAGCCCCGCGAGACTTGCTCGACCTGATGTTGGACGCCGACACGTGTAGCCACGACGCCCTGGTCCACACCATGACCCTCATCTTTGCTGGACACGACACGACCACCGCCGCCCTTTGCTGGACATTCTTCCGACTAGCTAGCCAACCCTCCATGGCGGCGCTAGCCCGGAATGAGTGCTTAGCCATGCTCAAGCGACATGGATCGTTCGAAAACGGGGAAGCGCTGCAAGGCTTGTCATTTACCACGGCGTGCATCCAAGAAACCCTTCGGTTGCACCCCCCGGTTCCATTTCTGGGGCGTCGCATCGCTGCTCAAGACATGGACGTCCCCATGACCGACGGCTCTTCTATCTTTGTTCCCAAGGTAGGCTTGCCACGCCACACAAACTATATATTATCGAAGCTATAACCTTGTTTTTTTACCTTGCTAGGGAACGTCCGTTTGTGTGTTGCACGCTGCGATGCATCGAGATCCGACGTATTGGAGCCAGCCTGAAGCCTTCGTTCCAGAACGATTCATTCCTGGAATGGCACCGTTTGAGATCGACCTCGGCCTCCGGCAAGGCCGTAGCCATGCACTCCACTACATGCCATTCAGCATTGGCGCCAAGAACTGCATTGGTCAACGGTTTGCCATGGCCGAGCTACAAGTCGTGGTCGCGACGCTGCTCTCGAGATACGAATTCGCCATCACAGCAGACGCCGACTTCTCCAACATGTTCAATGGCGTTTCAGTGCAGCCTGCACATTTAGAATTGTCTGTGGTGTCGGTTTAAGTAGTTAGTCGTCGGAGCCAACGTGGTCGTCTCCTGCTATGTGATTTTGATGGGGTTTTTCAATATATTCATGCCTACCGGTATACAGTATAATTGCTGGTCTTTCGGTCCAATTGGGTTTTGCTGTGTTTAGGGCAACGACTGTAATAATAATTCGGGGTTTCGGGGTTTTATGGCAATCGTCGAGGCGGTATATTTCAACGACTGTACAGTGGAGTTAGGCTATACTAGTGCGCGGAAACCATCGAGTTACATCGCCCAAAAGTTGTATGTGCAACGTTTCCAAGGCAAACATGTTCCTGTCGTGTTAGGGTTACCACCTTGAATTCAGTGTGTGTACTGCAAACTGTAGAAAAAACATCTCATGTGTGGCGACGTTGTCAAGTGCACAAGTATCAACTGTGCTGATTTTTGCTGTGGGGGGAGCTGGGGACTTTACCCCTGGGGGATGGGGGGTGTCGAGGGGGTGACGTCTCGTTGTCTCGGCCCAGGACTTTAAACTTTTTGTCTCGCAACACAGTCCACTGCTTGTCGCCGTACTCGTACAAACAGCAGTGCATTTTGCGTTTCGTGTCGTACCCGACAATCGTGCACGGATACCAGCAGTCATACCTTCAAAATCGTCAAACAACATGTTTATGATCGCGTTTGTGTAGTTGAGGACGATACCTGTACGTGTAGACACTGATGTTGAGCCCGATATCGCGAACGCCGTTTTGCAAGCCCACGCCAACCCCAGCCACCGTGGGTTCCTTTCGGTTTTCGTCGGGCTTGTCCGCTTTGACAATGTATGGCGACTTGGCTAAGTTGACCTTCGCCTTGACGAGTTTCGATGGTAGTGAATTGCGCTTTGGTTTTGGTTTGGTTGGCACTGGAACCAACGTCTGGGCTTTATTCGAGCCACGGGAACTCAAACTGCCTTCTCGGTGTTCATACGGGGTAGGAGGCTCCACACCGAACGAGGACTTGCCAGGTCTTGATGCAATAGACGGTAGCGACGGCTGGTTCAACACTGGGGGAGGGGCGGCGAATCGCAATATCGTGGCGTCGGCTGCAGTTGCGTCGTGGCCGTCGGAAATAGTTTGGACTCTGGCCACGTGAGGATTGCTGGTTGGTTGGGTGGACATGCGCCGTTCGAGGTCGATGCACTGGTCCAATTCTGCGTCGGTATGGTGGTCAATGACGAGGTGGCACATGGGGCACACGTCGTCTTCTTCGGGGACGTGCGTGAACTTTAGCTTTTCGAGCTGTGTTTCTAGCTCACGTCGTTCGTTCTACGAGGGGATAGAAAGGTATCGATTCCGATGTGTGGCGTTTTCTGCTTGGTACTGGGCCTACCTGAATGTCCTCCAGTTGCGCCAAGTACGGCTGGGTCTGTTGTTCCCAGTCAGGGACGACAACTTCACCCTCGTCTTGATTCGTGCCACCGACGGACGGCGGGGTACGTGGCGCCGTGACACTACGTTTACCAGACGGTCGACTTGCCGTTTGATTTCTACCTTGTGCTGACAGTGGTAGTCTTCGCGGCGGCGGTAGCGACGTGGTCATGCTGCTGTCTGAGAAAGTCGCCATTTGGTCGTGGGCGGTGCTGTTGGTGGCAGGTGCTGTCCGTGGGTGAAAATCCGTTGACGAAGTTCTTGCCGCCAGTTGCGCCTTGATCTGTTGGTTTTCGGCCCGCAAGAGCTCCAGCTGCGCTTCCAGGGATAGAATTCGCTGGGCCATCGCAGACACATTGGGCTGTTCAGTATTGAGCTGCAGCTTGAGTTTTTGGATCTCGCGCTGGGCGCGCGCGAGTAATATGGCATCGTCCACGACTTCGTTCACTTGAACGTTGAGTGCGATTTGTTTGGCTCGTTCGGCAAACTGCAAAGTCGACAGGGTCTCCTCTACCGCCGCCGCCGAAGGAGAGATGGTCGCGATTACAATCGTCCGGGTGTTGCCCCCTAGTGAATCTTGCAGCAGCCGCGTGAGTTTCGAGTCGCGATACGGAATATGCGACCGCTACAAAGCAAAAAACATGCCGGAATGTTAATACTCGAATGTTGTTTTTCGCGAATATATAGATAGATATATAGCGCGATACAATACTTACTTTTTTGTCTGTGAGGGCGGCAATCACGTTGCCGAGGGCCGACAGACTTGCGTTGATGTTGCGCAGCTCGCGCGTCCGGTCTTGTGTCATTGCAACGTCCGTGTCCCACTACAACGACCAGGTTGACGTGGCGCATCGTGATGTGTGTCTGAACTACCTTTTCAGAACCGGCAAGGTCCACCAAGTTGAGCTACGATCAGATGGCATGACGAAAGGTCAAATAGGATTGAACTGTATACCTACCTACCTACCTTTGCGCGACGAATGATCGTCGTGCGCTCGTTGCCTCGTGATTCGACTTCCATGGACAATTGCAGCAGCGCATGGCTACGACTACTTTTCTCATTGCATTCTACAACAACAATATATGGCCACTTTAGAGATAACACACGCTGATGGACTCAACAGACCGACCGACGGACCTGTAGCTCGAATCGTTCGGTTCTTGCTGCCGACTTGGAGCAAGTCCAGCACTTCTTGGGCGTTGCCCACTCGAAATTCAGAGATCCCGCTCACGTAAATGTGTTTGGCGTGGCCCTGTTGTCAATATTTGCCCAATCCTGAGCAAGAATTTCGCAATTGAACTACGTAGGTGGACATTGTACTTTGATCATTTCGCGAACTTGCAGCGGCGGCTGGTCTTTCATCGACGACGACTGCAGCAAGTCGAACACTTGGTTGTTGTAGATTTGCATGTAGGAACAGTGCACAAACGCTCCTGCGCCACACCCGCCAACCGCCTTGAGCTCCTGGAAGAGTCCGTCCACTGCGCGTGGAATGACGCCCCACTGACTCATGTCCCCCTGTCGAAGGGACGAGTCGGGGCCCATCATCGTGTGTGTTTTTCCCGTGCCTGGCAATCATCGTCAACGCTCGAACGTTTCTAGGATCTGAAATACCTGTTTGGCCGTACGCAAAGATAGTGCAATTGAATCCCTGGACAACTTGCTCCACCGACGACTGCATGTACCCATATACGTCATGTTGGCTGGCATTCGTCCCAAAAATGGCGTCGTAGTTGAAGCTCGAGTCAACCACCGAGGGTTGGCCGCATTTCACGTCCAACCTCGTTGGCAAGTCGACTGGATCCGTCGCCGGACGAATGGCCACCACCGACTCGTCGGCTGCTTGCAACTTGCGCTCGCGCTCGTTGGACGGACGCACGCGCACCACCACACGGACGCATTCTGGCGGGGGAGTCGCATCGCTCGACACCGCCGCCGTCTTGTCGCCCATCACGCCGTTTCGTTGGAATCAAAGGTGTAACTGCCACCATCGCCGCGGTTGAACTTGCCAGTTACGTTTTGAGTACATGCCACCGGCTGCTCGATGCATTGTGCTTGTGGTATGTTGTACTACAGTAGCCTGTTGCTACGAAATTGTATTGCGTGGGTATTCATTCGGTGGGGCTCAACCAAACATCCTGGGTGAAAACACTATCGTGTTTATGGGTAAAAGGACAACACCATGCGTTAGGTGGGATCCGCGGCATCGGTAGACGCCATCGACACGACTCAGTCGTGGGTAATGCAGCAAGGCGATGTCGCATACAAGGCAGGTCAATTCGAAGACGTTGTCGCATGGTACAATTCAAAGAATGTCATAGGTAGTAGCGAAAAGGAGGACCTTTATTTGCCACACACTAACAGTAAATAACGAATTAAACACGAAAACGACCGAAAAAAACACGAAAACGACCGAAAAAAACATGAATTTGAACGAAATACACACACGACCTAACGTTAATACGAACCTAAAGGATGATCTAAGAAACAAAACAGACAGGTTATGACATATTATATTTTTCCCCAGGGATATCGATCCCAATTTGTCCCCAAGCTGGTAATTGATGGGTCATGTGCTTTTTACTGTATTTCCGTCCTTAACTGTTCAGGAGTTTTGATGTGGATTAGGCATTTTTCGTATGGAACTCGGTGAATTGTGTGTTGTGCTCGGCGAAGATTATGTGGAAAATTGTAAGAACAATTTAGGCAGTAATTGTTCCGAATCGACAAATGTGTTTGCAATAGAATTATGACTTGTCACACCGAAAAGAAATATATTCAAATATATGTTGAACACCCAAAATTAATTTAAATATATTTTTCCCCTGCCCTGCTCAAGCCTGAAACCAATAACACACACTTGCACGTGTTTTCCAACGACGTCATGTACTCGCCCTTTGAAGTCCAGGACGAATCGCTGAATGCTCCTACACTGCCCCCCACTTTAGCCCTGCCACAATGCCTTCTTCGCCCCCGTTACTACGTGCCCCACCAATTTCCTGTACGAGCTAAGGCTACAGGAAATCAGTCACTTTCAAGCAGAACGTGACCGTCACCTCAAGAAAGCGCCATGAAACCAACAGGGGGCGGCGCCTTCACAGTTTAATTTGAGAACCCATGTAGTAAAATGCACATTAGTCTTCAAATAAAGTCGCAAATGCCGAGCGAATGGAGGCCAAAATGTCTGGGGTCGTGGTGGACCGACCATGCTGGGCAAATGCGATCGCGGCACTAACCAAAACATGTCGAGAATAAACATCACAATCTCAAATGTCCATTTTGCCATATATACCTTTGACGCGTGAGGAGCGAACCCCCAAATGCTGCCAACGACAGGGCAGGATGCTGCAAAAGTGACGCCTTGGGTTGTTGGTTGCTGTACAAGTATCCCACATATGTGAATTCTGGATATTTAAAAATAATGATTTTCATGACAAATATTGTCGATTTGATACAAATTTGGAGAGGGGGTGCAATCGAATCGCGCCGACCAAACCGATCCACAATCGATCTGATTGGTTGTTGAATTTCACTTAGAAGGCTTTGATTGGCTAATAATTTTGAGCTACATCTTAGGTAGCCAATCAAATCGATTTAAATTCCCACGAGAAACCACACCACAACACAATGAAATTTCACTCGAAAGCACAATATACAAAATACGAACAGGCGACACGCACTCCATGCTAGAAACGCCCCCACGCTGCCCGCCAACACCTGACATACATAGCGTTGTGTCAATATGATTGAGCACAAAGCACACTTACATCGCCTTGGCCGCCACATCGTCTGGGAATACCTCGACTAGGTTGCTCCACAGCTTGCCACGTTGGATTAGTCCCACTGGATAAACCCCAAGTTGTTTTTCGTACTAGTGTAGCCGTCGGAAATCACGTCGATCTTGCCTTTTTGAAGCACCGTCACATGGCCTAGCGCTGCGGCGACTCGTTGTGGGGATATGGCCGCAGCGGCCGCAAGATCTAGCGAAATCAGCAACCCCAGCGCCACACACAGTCGGCCATACTCCATCTAACGTGGCATACCCAATGCCGCCGTTGTCAGTGCAACAACTGGTTTTTACCAGCAATGCGTAGTAGATAGTTTCAACCGTATTCGGGGTCAGAATTGCATTCGTGTAGTTCCGAAGCAACAACACATCAGTGGAAAGCAAGTAGAGGGCATCGCCATCGAGCACGAGCGGCAATTGCAACTCGGTGGCGGCAGCGACGATCGACTTTGTGGCGCTCAACACGTCGGGGTCTCGGCCCAAGCCCGGGCCAAGAACCAACGCATCCAGGCGCGGCAACACCGCCGTGATGCGACCAAGGGTGGCGGTGCCCAGGTACGGATGGACAATGAGCTCGGGGCTGTAGCACTTTATAGGGATCGCGGCGTCGGGAGTGCAAAAGATATGACATAGATCTACACCCTATGTACCCACGTACGTACTAAGCGTGAATCGACGTTGAGAGGAGCTGGTATAAGCTGATACATACCGTTTTCAGAGCGGCCATGCCAGCGTAGTACGGAGCACCTGTGTACTCTGCACAGCCACCGACTATTCCTACTTTACCTATGTACAGTGCTTAGTAGTGTTCACAGTGTATGAGTAACCTACCATATTGCCCCTTGTAAAGATCAAACGACAGGGGCGGCACGATCGCCCGTGCGTCCATGTTGTAAACGTTGCAGCACACTGCTAAGATCGCCAGGAGAACCTTGCGTATTCGATAACCCTCTTACATTTAATTCATTCCGTTTTGTTTGTGGTCCCACTTCCAAGTTTTCATTAACAATACCAGGTAGTTTTAATATGTATATAATAGTAGTGAGTAGTCCCGTGCGTTTGGGCAAAACGAATGTATTGGTTAATTCTTCCATAACTTTTCC